TGTTCAGCTGCTTGTCTCAACGCTAATGGCCAGAAACTCACATCCAAGCCTGATGACTGCAGCAACGTTCTTGTCACATTCTTGAGAATTTGGATCTCGATCTCTGCAGTGGAGTTCTGAGTGGGTTCATCTCCTGGAGAAACTCGAACTTCCAGATTTCTTGCTGATGCCCATGTTCGAAATCGTTGTGACACAAGTTCTTTGGCGCGGTCAACTCTCACCCTGTAGATTGGCACTTGAAGGGCTCGAAATCTGGTGTAGAGAGAAGCCACTGCATTGATTATTGTTGTTTCACGTCGATCACTCACAGGAACAGCAAAGGTGATGGGTTTGACATTGACATCCTGAAGCTCTGCCATCTTATTTTGAAACGCCTGCTTTGCCACGTCCTCCGCATTCACATCCACCTCTGGCGGATTCTTCTCCAAAACTTGCAAAGGAACTTCAGGCAATGGACATGACTCCAGTTGTTTGACAAGCTCATCATCCTGAGCTCCCCCGTCTCTGCAATCTTGTACATGAACATCACCACGTTGAACTCCATTTTGAGGAACTTCAACAACTTCAACTTGTGCTCCCCCCTTCGAGGAATCTGGAGCTCCCCCCTTCCAGGGATCTGAGGCTTGAACATCATACTTCTCCTCCACCTTCTTGGGACGGCCCGGTCCACGAATCACATCCTCCACCTCCTTGAACGGATCAGGATCCAGAGTCACCTCCGGGAGCAAAGCCTCAAGGTCAGGAAAACCTTCTGGCCGTGGTTTCGGCTTCCAACCCTCCACCAACGCACCAATCTCTGCTAACCATGGGACCTTGACAGTGGCCACCATGAAGTATCTTGCTTTTGCTCTTCCTTGATCTGGTGCTCGTTCAAAAGGTCCTGCCAAATCCACACTCATCTCATAAGTGGATTGAAACTTCTGCCTCCGTCGTGGTCGATCTCGTCCCGCTCCAACTTGACATTGAAGACAGTCCTTCCTGTAAGGAATGTGATCCGACATGAGGTGCAAGTACCATGATTCCTCCTCCGTCAGGTTCAACGCTCGCAGTTGTGGTAGTGGAATTGCGTGGATCTCCCTGATCATCAGATCCTTCAAAGTTGGAGCCCATGCTGCTGTTGACTTGGACAACTCCATAGCCCTTGACAAACTGTCTGGCCATGCTGCATACTTGGTGTCATCCTTCAGGCCATCCAGCGCCTTGATGACTTCCATATTGCTCCACAAACATGTTGGTTTTCGTCGTTGATGTCCAAGAGCTCCTTGATCCACTGTCAACCTTTTCAATCCCACCGCCTTTTCCAAAACTGACTTCACTTCGGGCCACACAGTGAAAGAGGCATATTCAACTTCGTCTTGCCTGTACGTCATTGGATCCTCTGGGGTCTCCACTACGGCCTTGACGTCAGGGTTGTAGAGCTTGGCCTCATACATCAAGAGCAATGTTCTCAGCCAAAGCTGGCTGTCAGTGTCTGCCAACTGTTGCTCCATCATCGTGTTGGTATCCAAGCCAAACCTCTGTAAACCATGTCTCGATCTCACAGGCCGCGGTCCTCCATCAGACCGGTAACGTGCAGCTGATACTGTTCTGCACGGTGGGCCAGCAAGTACTGCAACCACTCGACCCGACCTCACAAACTGCAGTAAAAAGTGCCAAACTGCTGAATCCAAAAGATCTTGTCCTCGAAGTAGATCCACGTTCACCACTTCGATGTCGTGTGGCATTCTTTTTGACCACCACGCTTGATCTGGACCTGAAAACAAATTCAGCACAATGCCCTTGGCCTTCTTGAAGCGTCGCCGTTGATGGCGATTCCATGGCAATCGAGCCTCATCACCAGCTTTGCTCACCATAGGTTGCAACAACTCCACAGGTGTTTCAGGAAACAACTTCTTGAGCTTGTCGGCCATGTCCTTATCTTCCTGTTTCCAACCTGTGACTTCCAAACTTCGCAACATCAACTGCTTGTTCTTCTCAGCAGTTTCCAGCTCTCGAATGAGCTTCATCCCCACATCATTGGTCACGTAGGGACAATTGTCACGAACTGTGACTTTCACTTCACCCAGCTTGCCATGTGTAAGAGCGCACCCATCGCGATGCCACCTCATCTTGCATCCATGCTGAGTCAACATTCCCAAAGGCACAATTGGCTGCAGATCATCCTTTGTCAACAACGATCTGCTCATCTTTGACATCCTCAGCTGTGTTTTTCCAGTTGCCGTTTGTACCTCTGTTGGGATCGCCTGCATCCACTCAGTCTCATCATAGGATCCTCTAAGGATATGCGTGGCCCCCTGAGTCCAATGAGTCCAATAGCACACCTTGATTGCTGTCAGTCACCACCGCCAACACCCTTGGAGTCGTTGACGTTGTTCGCATTGTCTTCAAAAGACTGGCAACTTCACCCATGACTGAGGGTTGAACTTGTTGTTGTACTTGAGCAACTTGAGGCTGCTGTTGTACCTGAGCAACTTGAGGTTGCTGTTGTGTCGGAGCAACTTGAGGTTGCTGTTGTATCTGGGCAACTTGAGGCTGTGAATCCTTTGAAGACTGATCCACTCCCCCGACCGGCTTGTCCCGGTCCTTGCCTTTGCCCTTGTCGTTCTTGCCATCCTTTGTCTTTCCTTTGCCTTTAGGGCTTCCTTTGGAGCTTTTGTCGCCCGGACTTGTCGTAATCTTGTCACCAGCCGTGCAGTCTTTGGCAATGTGTTCCAAACTGGAATACTTCCAACATCTCTTTTCTTTGTCGTTGAGATTGTTCCACTCATGGGCATAGGTGCATCTGTCACCCTTGAGGCATCCTTGAGGTTTACCCCAATGCCTGCATGCTCCAGCACCTGTACCATAACCACTGCCTTCTGCATTGTTGCCATAGCCTTTCTTACCAGGACATCCCTTCTTGCCACCACCCTTGTCACCAGCAGCATTGACCACATTGATCTTGGGATTGCCCGAAGTCGGACTTGCCTTCGTCATTGTTCCATGATGCAAGTGATCCGCTTCGGCGATCAACATCTGCAGATAGTTCTCCGCTATGAGCTGTGTAGGCGCCACATCCACCATATGGGTCATGCGGAAGTTGCTAATGCGAAAACTCGCTTGATGCTCCTTCGCAATCACTGTCCGCATCACTTCAGAAAGTGCGCTTACCTGCAGCAAGGGATCTGGAACCTGTAGTCCAAGTTCACGAGCTCGCAGGAGTTGACGTCGCCATTGGCGTAGCATCTCACCAGCTTCAGCTGCAGATTTGGCTGCTGTTGTTTGGGTCAAGTTGTTGAGGATGGTGCTTTTCTCGTTGAGACCACCAGGTTGGTACAGCTTCAAGATGCGAAACACCAGCTGCACGCATGTCATCTCTCGCAAAGAGAT